GTGGTCATGTGCTTCGTCCGTAGTAGTTAGTGGGTTAGGTTAAATACATTTCTATCGAAGTGTATTACTTAGACGGGCACAGCATAATAACCATAAGGTATTATAATTACATTGCATTGCGTATTATGCAGCCTGTTATAGAATTCAGTACTGTTATAATATTATGCAAACACAGTTAACATCATACCCGAATGACTCGCTTCCTTTGATGAAGCATTGCGAGAGGAGAGTTTCACCTATCCAACAAGTTTCTGTGACTAATAGTGTGGGTGCGGGTTAGGGAATACGAAACATTGTTAGGAAGCATTTAATTGAGGAGATAGCCGCACTGAAGCAGCTTTCGTCTAATGATGCTCTCTTCGAACGAAGCAGTATTGTCGGTGCTCAGATGTTGCTGGATCAAAGTGTGTGTCTGAATTCATCTGGTGCTCGTTATACACAGTAACGTAACATATTCAATTTTTGAAAATAAAAATTTTCAATTTGTATCTAGATGAAAACCACGAATCCTGTTCTTATTTAGAAATTGATCTTATCATTCTATAAAAGTAATTCTAACAAGGGAACATACCGAAATGGCTATCACCGATTTTGATACAGCTCTGTGAGAAAGTAGTTTTCATAAATATATTGACTCGCATACTTTTTGTTTAGCTGCTACCATCCACGTTAGAGAAATGAATACAGTCCTTAAAGTTAGGGGTATGAAATGCTTTTGGTCGAATATCTTGGAAACTATTAGAGGTAGGATAACGGTTTAAATAGCAATATTGTGTGTTCTTTGATGAGGAATCCAGCTATATTATTAGATTCTATTGTAACAAGGTATAAATGTGCATTTTTCTTCTAAACTTGAACTTCTGTGGTCCCACTGGTTTAGATAAAGTTTTAATAAAATATAAAGGTTCATAAAATTTCATGTTACATCCTATACATCTTGAGGACATTTATTCCTCTCTTAACAATATGTTAAACGCCGCCATTACAGCGTGTTAAGTACGCAGCAATCCATATTGCATTTTCATATGGAAATTATTTCGGTTTGAGAGACAAATCACAAATATCCGAAATATAAGAATTGCACTTAAGAAAGTTCAGGAGATGAAGATAAGTGCGTATATTAATATTAAATAAATATACATCCATTTATCTTAATAATTATATATACCATAGAAATCACAAAATTGACATAAAGTATCCTTTATCTTACTTTTGGTAACCTGAAAAACTCGAAGTACGTAATAACATTTCACAGATACGAGCATAACAGAATGCTTCATACATTTCTCTGGAAAAAGAAGTTTAAAGTATCATCCACGGAGATCAGAACAGAGTATCGTCAATAGGTATCTCACAATACCGAAACTGGGGCTCGGTTGAAATCGGAAGTCAATCACTCGCTACGGATTAAAGACCGTTCTTATGCGACCAGAGACGAAGCAGCCCTGAAATAAAAGAAAAGAAAATCGAACGTTTTTTGAAAGAATCGAAAGAACGACTTTGCTTCATCCCCCCTGGCAAAAACGTTCGCCCACAATTAACGCCGTTTCCCTTAATGACGTGTCTTTTGCCGCAATGGAAACGTTTCATTCGCGATAAATCTGCGGCCCCGTTAGAAACGGAAGTTCCGTGCGCCAAGCGCTCGGAGACTGTTCGTGCTGGGCACGCTGGGGTACGAAAATGCATTTCGACGCTGTGCATAGTGGTCGAAATGGTTGAATTAGGTAGACAAAAATTCTCTGTGACGGAAAGAACCTATTAAAGGACTGTAAATCTTCCAAGGACACTGTTTTATTCACTCGAGTGTATTTTGTTGGCAGACTGTCACGATAGTGGACAAAATCGACTCATTGTCATAAACAAGGTGTTAATTTTAACTCGAGCACCTAAATTATTTCCGCTACTATTTAAAGTAAGAAAAAATGACTAAATAGGATATATATGGTTTTAAGGCGTGAATCTGATGGTGATGAAATGTTTTTTACTTGTTATTACGTTTATTTACTTCTGCATTCTACAAACTGAAGCTGATTCCTTCGCCTTCAAGGTCACTTTAAGGTCGCGGTATGTAGGTCGTTGAACTCATCTTGACGCCGACTACCATATCATGTTATAAAAAATACATGTTAATGTGCAAAAAAATACGATGACCTTGAAAAAACCGTTAAAATGACCTTCACAGGACTTTTTTATAGGTCTGCGAAGCGAGCACCTGCGAATGCTAAATTTTATGAAAAACCAACAATATTCGTTTGTCCACGATTTGTCCACATTTGTTCAATCAAAATTTTCGTTTGTCCCCCCTACAAAAAAACGTTTTGAACTAGTTGACCACATGAGATTAATACTGCCACGAACATTTTCCTTCATTACAAACTGAGATATGATTGTCCACGACGTGTCCACGTTTGTCCACCCCACATTATCGTTTGTCTACCTAGCAGAATCGAATTATTAACAAACAAAAACATAAAAAAATAAAATTTAATATTGACAGCGACAAACGAAAATTTTTGATGGACAAACGTTGACATATCGTGTACAAATGATTCCGATGCTTAATTTAGAGAAAATGCAATAAGAAATACTCTGGGTGATTAAATCTTATTTTTTTGTGTTTTCTTTTAATAATAATTCGATTCTGCTGGGTTGACAAACGAAAATTTGGGGTGGACAAACGTGGACATATCGTGGACAAACATATCTCAGTCAGAAATGAAGAAAAAATGTTTGTGGGAGTATTGATATCATATTATTAATTTGTTTATAACTTTTTTTTGAAGAGTGGACAAACGAAAATTTTGGTTAGACAAATGTGAACAAATCAAGTTTTTCATAAAATTTTGCATTTGGGAGTGCTAACTTCACAGACCTCTTTTTTATCACCATCAGATGTACGTCTTAAAACGATGTACATCCTATTTAGTCATTTTTTCTTACTTTCAATAAAATTAACACAATGTATGTTCCCGTTCATACGTCACCAAGACACTTGATTGTTTTTGAGAAAAATGGAAATTGAAAGAGAAATGCAATTTCTTGAAGCAATTTCACTAATTTAGTCTATTTCTAGGTATAAAAGTGTAGATGTTCCAATTTCTGCCACCTTAAGATTGTAGCGTAACAACATTTACTTATTGTAAGTGTTGTTTAACCCGTTCACTGTCTTTATCCATTACACAGAACATCAATTTTATCAATGTGTTACTAATATCAGAAACATTTTTTACCAATCGTAGGCATATAGAATCTTTAAGTAACTCCTAAACAATAGAAGATCAACGTAAAAATTTCTTTTATTAAAACACGTATTTCCTAACGAAATTCCTATCTTTACTGTTGCCTTCAAAAATTATTTTAGAAAATTTCATTTTGCATAAAAATCCGCAGTCTAGTCATCACTTCCTACTTACGCAGTCGCGTCTCTGACGTTCAAATTGCACTTTCATATTTCTACAATAATTTGTAAATACCAAGTACATATAGGTGCATGGATTTCTTTGCTTTTATGTAAATTAAAGTTCCATTTTAATAATACAATTTTTTTGTTCACAAATTCTTTATAGTTAACACTTCTGTTAAGTAATGTAAGTGAAGTGGCAGTATTAAGGACACTGGCAGTAATTCGGGCATTTACCCTAGTGGTGCTGAACATACTTCAGACGTCTTTCAGAATTATTTTAAAAAAGTATAACACAGTAATCAGCTTTAAATTTTGTAACACTACTCATAGTACAGCCAATTTAATACAGTTGAATAATTCTGACATTGATTAGCAAAAAGATTAACCTTTTAGCTGCAATACGCCATTGTACTGGTATCTCACTAGCTCTTTTAGAACGATATGTCCCTGTAGTGGCTTTTCTGTGTGTGACACTTTTGAACGTTACGCCACTATAGTGACTCGCTTGTTTATCTCACGTTGAGAGGCGGGCAGATCATTTATTTTTAAACATGGCTTAATGCATAGTGGAAAACATTAAACACCGTTCGCGATACTGACGTTGTTTACGTGCAGTCTGCGGCAAAGCTGTCCGTACAGCGTCAAAAAAATTCTAAAGGATTAAGAACACGCGTAGAAATGAACGAAAAACTCGTGGAAGTCACTATAGACCGATTTGAGTGAAATCAGGGGAGAATTATTTTTAAAACTTCGCTGTCAAAGTGCCACAATTTATTTGGATGATTATTCCTGAATGGAATGAAGACATTAAATAAACAGATTAATTACTCATTTATACGCTCATTTATCTCATAATTCAAATAACGTTGCAACCCTTATTGTTTTTTCGTATTCCACGTTTAGCAGCATAAGTTGTCGATGACTCATGGACGGGTGTTTCGCCATAGTTTTCTATGAAATATCATCAAACTAGCGGTACAAGCTACAAGATAAGATTCTATATAAAAAAACTAGTATGTCACAAATATGAAATTTGATTTTTTTTGTGTTTTGTTTTCAAAACAAATTAAATTTGACGATTCGTCAGAAATGCGTGCTTTTTTATACACGACTGGCGTCATGTCTGACCATTGCTCACTGATTCTACTTGGAATACATTTTACTCGTAACAAATTATTATTCGTGTTCCATCGATTTAATTATCCTTTAACTATTACTTTATAATTAACTATAGTAGAAGTAATTCACCGACATTGATTACAAATATTGACGTAATTATAAGGGACTAGCAATGGACAGACACGTAAGCTAAATGATGTTAAATTACATGTGCAGGTACACCGACGTACGAAATCCAGTATGACTTTTTTTTATTCCACATTTTTTAGCCAATCCAATATCGTTAGTTCTCGTCACTTTTTATTCCACTGGCACGATCCGCTCCACTTCTAAATGACACAAGTAACGCAGACTTTTTTCTTTCTCATTTTCGTCCGCCCGGATCGATCATTTAAACCACAGCGCGGCGTGCATAGATAAAGAGCGAGCTCGAGCAAGAGAACCATCTGACCGACGAACATTTTACTATGAATTTCAGGCTTCTATTCGTGGCGGAACCCAGACGCTGGATCCTGGTTCATACAGGCACTCTGTGAGGAATTGAATCTGAACGGGCGTACCCGTGATCTACTCACCATAATGACTTTCGTCAACCGGCGAGTCGCTATTCAGTATCAATCGTTCGTGCCGAACAACAAGGATTTCCACGGGAAAAAGCAGATCCCCTCCATTGTCTCCATGTTGACGCGGTTGGTGTACTTCGGTGAAAATCCGCTTTAATATTTCACGACACCGGACGGACCGGAGAGGAAAAAGGGAACCGCCGGCGAAAGGCTGAATACGGGGATCGAGGAAATTTCATGGATCCCGGCTATTCCGTTATTCGAACGAAATTCACGGAATCCTTTTTTTTTCTCGGGTAAAATATTCCACCGATTTTCCAACGACCTAACGTTTCACAGACAAGCATGACTAGACTCGGATTTCCGATTAGTATCGCGGTCACATCTAATTATTTAGCCGACGCGTGACCAACGAGAAAACAGAGAATTCTCGATCTGATGTTAATTAATTCCTCTGAGTAATTGAAGCGATCGACGGGAGCGCTGTAGGTTGATGCGTTGATTATGCATTGTGTTTTGTGCGTGCAAGGGCAAGATTATTAATTTCGTTCGATTGGAATTTGGCGTCACGATTCATTGACTATCCTACTGTGAAAATGGTTAGCACGAATTTCGTTGAAATATTTTTTACCCTTAGCTGTGGACGACTCATTTCAGAGACGAGTCTGAATTCTTAGTTCACTTTTATTATTATTATTAATTCATAATTCACGTAGTGAAGAATTTTTTATACTTAAACGTTTGGATACCACAGTAAGTGGCACACCGGTTCCAGAAGAGTAATATAAAATAACGTCCAGTTGGTTGTTAACCCATTAAGGACCAAGCAGTGAAGTAATACGATTTTTATACAGAAGATTTTTTATTCTTTACAATATTACATACCTAAGTGGAAGAAGAAATGGCGACGAAAAAATTATTAAACAAATCCTTGGAATGCCCTTTCATAACCACAATGTTAAAAAACAGAATTGAATAATATATTGATTATTAATGATCATCAGTTTGAATAATGAAAGTCATTAATCATTTAAAAAAATACAAATGAAATGTTGCATTAAAGCAACATTAGTCCTTAGTGGGTTACAAGTGTTTCGAAGTAGTCGTTGTCATTGACATGAATCGTCTGTAGTTAAGGGTTAATGTGATTTCTTCTTAATAATTTTATATTGATCAATAATTTCGAAATCGGAAGAAAAGTTTCTCAGTATGTCCGATATAATTTTCAATAAAAATTTCGAAGATTCTAACTAAAAGTCACTGTATAACGAGCAAATCATTCCAGACAGTGACATTAGTTCCAAATATTACTGTAGAATGAATTCGAAGTACAAAGTAACTATTTTCTGAAATTTCGAAGAAAGTAGTGAATCTATGAAAATGATTTAAATATTCTTGTTATTTGTAATTAATGCGAAGCATCGTTTTGGAATTTATTGCTTAGCGTACGACACCATAACAGTACTATGATAAGATATTAAAGAATTCTATACATTGCAAAATACCATTGACAAATGGGACGACAGACATCCGATTTTATAATACTGTATATTAATCATAAGTACCTATATTAATTTTTTAAGTAATTGGCAATAATCAGATTTCGTTTGGCAGTTTTAATATTTCGTTATTTCAATTTATTAAAAGTATTGTACACAGTATTTATACCCCATTACGAGAGAAGACAATTCTATTACGAATATTTGTGATTATAGTTGGACTAAAGTCATTTACCACTTTGAGGTTTCTTTGCCAACACTAAAGGGTTCTCATATACAGTATTGGCTCCCCAGAATTGCATTGCTAGGTCGAACAGTGAGATTATAAAATGCGGCCGATACGATTATGTGACCGTTTCATATACTCTGTTTGGTTCCTTCGTCTTATGTTACTGTGCAGAAAGCAGGTTATCTGAATGTCTATTGTCAGGAACGTCGATCATTCAGTGTACCAACTATCGAAAAGCAGAATGAGTCTGGAATATTTTGCAGTGAATATGTGCGACACTTTAAGTGACAATTGAATATATTAAATTTGAAGGTTGCAATTGTGATAATATTCAACGGTGGTTAAAAATACGTACAGATAATATAAAATTATTCACAATATTTTTTGTTGAATAAAATACTAACTAGAGATGACAGGACCATGTATTGTTTTTATTCTGTCCAACCTTCCGTAGAATATACATCCATTATTCAAACTTGTTTTATTTGCAATCGTTTCATGACATAATATGAAACTTTGCTTCTTCTGGACCATTTATCCGAAAAATCGTTTATGCATCCGAACGGCTTTGTTACCCAGAGTTTGGATAATCGCCGTTGTATTGTACATGAAACCTTTTTTAAAAGTTTATTTAACGATTATATTAACCTTTTTTAACGATTTACCATTCTGTTTTTTTAAAAGACAAAGAGAGTTGAGAATTAAACAAACGGTAACGGTAACCTGTTAATGGCGCCGAAAGCACAGTTCAGTTCATTCCAGCTATAGAATTAGTTTGTTTACAGTGTAATTTCTACAATGTTTAATATTAATATTTGTTGTACTAGACAGTAAGACTTTAATTATTTTCATGTGATTACGTTAATTGTGACTTATGGATTAGTGCAATACAATCACGTTCTCTGAGGAACATTTGGAAATTGGAAACAAAAGGGTTAGTAGGTGTGGCACTGCTTAGACTAATCCGAGACTCACTACTTGTATTTCACCTCTAATATATTTAGCAAATTTCGATTCGAAATGAGCCTTTTATCATTCCTGAATAAAAGTATTAGATGTAGATGATTAATGTTCAGAAAATCGAAATTCGTACTACCTACTTAAATAATATCTATCCTTGTTCCCCAACATTCTCCGCTATTCTTAAAACAGGAAAGATTAAAAAAGTGTTTTACATTTAAGTTACGTTGCCAATTTATTTAAATAATGTAATAAATTACATATTAGTAAACCCAATATTTAACTAATACCGACAAAGTTATTCTAATGTTTCGTTAAAGTATACATTAAGTGTTGTCAGTAGAGTAGAATAAACAATGTCACACGAAACACTTTCTTTTTTTGTATCTTAAACCTTGTTTAATGCTTCCACATTACCTACTTATAATTTTTTTCAAAATTGTTCTACGTATAACGCGAATATGGATTTCATGTATTTATAGCCTATAAAGGCACAGTGAAATACAAAGAGAAACCAAAACTGTCGTCAGATGCAACACACCCATTAAGATACTTGAAAGAAGAAAGGAATTCCTACATTTGTTCTTGTGTTTATAAATTACTTTAGAAAATATCATTTTGCATAAAAATTCGCAGTTTAATTATAACTAACCTAAAATTTCATGATTCAGACGATCTGTCGAGTGAAAGTGGTAATCCAATTTCGTGGACGAAGCAACGGATCCTCCAACTTAACCGGTCATAGATTTCAGTTGCGTGGTGTTAAATACAAATTTGTTTCACCGATATAAGAGGCTCATAACGAAGCACGCGGGGCGGATTGTTTGAACCAGTTTACGATGTTTAATAGAAACGGCGAATAACTTCTTCTCAAGACAAAGCGGAAAGCATGAATTCTATTTAAACTTTAGAGTCACTTTATGATCGGAGCTTAAAAAATTAACTATATTTCGCTGGGTAAGTGAGTCACCGATATATCTTTTTATTATTTCATCGCGTTATAGCTTCCTGTGGTGCTGATGGCGGTTCTGTTTCGCCATAAACAACGGTTTGCAGTCTATAAGAATGAACACCTTTCTCGGTATTCGCGATAAAAATTAAATTATTTTTTACGACCGCGAAGGAAAACTTGCGAATGAAGATCCTGTTCCAGCATTTAGATTCATCGACCGAATAATATGATAACTAAACATCATAATTGTCTTATGGATTTATCGTTTTTCATTTATAAGTCAACGTGTAATTGTAAATAATGGAAAGATTGCGGATTTTATACATTTATAACTTATATCAATGGGTACTACGAAATATAATACCATAAATTTCACACGTGTTTTTGAATTTACTCAAATCCAAAATAAAGATATTTGGTTGCTCTTTATTGCCCCCCCCCCCCGCCCTTCACAGTGTTACAAAATTTTTGCAGAATATTTAATATTGCAGTATAATTTGAAACACGACCAACAGCCTTTATTAACAAAACGCATTCATTTTGAACGCTATATGACTTACAAGACAAAAAAAAAGTGTGTCTGGCTACATACGGTCTTTTTCACTGTGACAGTCGATGTATTAATATTTTTGTCCCTCGCCCCCCGACTGATAACCTGGCTGCGCCCATGCTTCAATGTCTATTTTTAGAACCTTCCCTCTATAAATGCAAACGTGTATAAACATTCATAGTCTAATCAGCGTCTGTTAAGCATAACGAAATTAACGTACATTTTTCTGTCCACTCTGAAACGTTAGCTGCGATATTTTACGCAGTTGTGTTTTTATTGTCGAAAATTATTCTTCAACGCGTCAACCATCTGTTTCATCGTTGAGTGAAAAAGAGAATATAGGACGCTACCGGGAACGTAATTTCTCGGAATGCTTCTGGTTCTCTAAAATACGTAATTGGAGGGCTCAGCCATTATGGGGCAAGCCCAGTTGACTTAATTTTATGTAAATTGACTTTAGAAATTACAGTCGTTTAGGTGCAGAGGTCATAACGTATGGCAGATGAGTGTGGTGAAAGATCTAGTTTTTTTTTCGCTTGCATGGTTCGAAACCGTCATACATTTTCTGCAAAATGGACAAAATTGATTCGAACTATATATATAATCATAATTATATTTTACTTATAAGTTACAATTATATAACTTTATATAATTATATTTACGTTTACATAATTAATTTGTGCATAATTAAACATAAAGTATATAGTTAATTGGGAAATTATATTTCTATAATTATCACATAGCTATATTCATTCATAATTGCATTCATGTTCCGGCACGCTCAAAAAGCTGGATATTCAATAAATTCTGTATTTGGTTAATGAAGATATGCGGACTCTTTAATTGAGTATAATGCAACATCTTCTTGGTATAACATTATTTTATTTTCACCGAAATTTGTGTAATAAAGCTAACGTTTATATATTTTCACGATCTGAAATTGAATTTACTTAAATCAATTTCCAAA